GGGCGGGGCACCGGGCGGGGGGCGCGCGCCTGCGTGCAGCCCTGCCCCGGGCGCCTGCGGGTGGGCACCGCTGCAGAGGGCTTGCATGGGAGCGTGCAGCTTGCCCACGGTCGTGAATGCGTAGACCAGGCATGCAGGGGCTGTGTGCGCGTGCAGCACACGCGGGGATGTAGCTCTGCACAGGTGTGTGCCCGTGCACATACACGGACTAATGTTGGGGCGGGGGGAGCATACCACCAAAGACATGCATATGGGCACACAAGGCATACACAGGTGCACAGGTGCATGGATGTGCAGCAGTGCATGGGTGTGTGATGATGCACGTGTGTGCATCAGTGTCCTGGGGGGAATGCACAAAGCCTGTGTAAAAATGTCTTTGTACCTGCAAATCCTTTCAGGTGTGCATGCATGGCATGGCTGGCTATGTGCACAAGTCACAGCTTGAGTACAGATGAGTTTGTATGCACACCACTCATGCATGGGTGTGTGCAAACCTTATATAGGGCTGTATGTTTGTATGTACACCCATGCATACAGGAGGTGGCTGCACATACTACCCTTGCACAGGTGTGTGCACACGTGCTGGTCACAAATTGGTATGTTTAAGAGTGTGCTTGCAACTCATGCACAGCTACAGGTAGGACTGTAGATGTGCATGCAGCTTGTGCATGAGTGCACGCATGCAGCACACCGCTGTGTGTGTGTGTATGCAAGCATGTGTGTGTGCAAGAGCGCAACTCACCCGCAGTTGCGTGGAGTTTTTTCCTGCGTCCCATGCGTTGGCACATGCATGTGACTTATGTACAGGTGCATGCACACACACACAATCTGTGTCCAGGGCCATACACACATATGTGCACACATGCAGTTTGTGCATAGGGTTTGCACATGTATGTATGGGCATGCTTTTTGTGTGTTGCTGAGTTGGCTATGTTTGCATACAAATTGTGGACAGGCATGTATGCAAGGGGTGCTATGAGCGTAAGTGTACATGTAGCCCAAGCACACATGTGTGCGCGCATGTGTAAGTGCAACCAGTACAGCTGTGTGTGGGTACATGCAGCCAATGCATAGGGGCACATGTGTGTGCAATCTGCGTGCATGTTGGAGAGTGCATGCAGATTTGTGGTTGCACGTTCAACTGGTGTACAGGGTATTGCACATACAGTGCAGGTCAGCTGCGCCTGCAGCTTGGTCCTGATGTGGGTGCCTGGGTGGCAGTCCGTGGGGAGGCCGTGCAATCTGAGCTGAGTGCCCTGGGGTCTCCCTTGTGCCCAGGTCTGGCTGGCCTAGCAGCGGGATGAGGAGGAGGACGGCGGCGTGCTGGACGCTGATGCTGCTTGCTGCTACTTTCTGCGATGTCGCGGTCGGAAAGGGCGGGCGCGGTGGTGCCCGGGGGGCCGCACGTGGCAGCGCCCG